GTGCCCGTGCCAGGTGCAAGCCTGCCAGCACCCAGCTAGCAGACCCTGCACCTGTAGAGTAATTTGAATTACTGCCCTGGACCGCAAGAGGAGGGCACCTTCCTGGGCTAGTGAGGACATCGTGGACCTCGTCCACGATCTCCGCACTAGGCACAGGAAAGTGGCCGTCTAGGGCAGGAGAGCTGCCAGCCTGGCCACCCAGGACCAGGTGTGCATGAAAATCAAGGGGGTCCACTGAGACCCCCGACCCTGAGCCCTGAGCTTACAATGGCCGTCCTGGGTCAGACCAAAGGTCCATCTAGCCCAGTAGCCTGTCTGCCAACAGCGGCCAACCCTAGGGACCCTGGAGGGGATGGACCGAAGACAATGACCAAGCCATTTGTCTCGTGCCATCCCTCTCCAGCCTTCCACAAACTTTGGGCAGGGACACCACTCCTACCCTCTGGCTAATAGGACTCCATGGACCCAACCTCCATGACTTGATCTCACTTCCCTTTAAACTCTGTTCTAGTTGTAGCCTTCACAGCCTCCTGCAGCAAGGAGTTCCACAGGTATACTATTTGCTTTGTGAAGAAGAACAACTTTCTCTTACTAGTTTCAAGCCTGCTACCCATTCCTTTCCTTTGGTGTCCTCTAGTCCTTCTTTATGGGAACTCAGGAAGAACTTTTCTGAATGCACCCTCTCCACCCAACCCCTGCTTTTAGAGACCTCTATCCTGTCCCCCCTCCGTCTCCTCTTTTCTAAGCTGAACAGTCCCAGTCTCTGTAGCCTTTCTTCATCTGGGACCTGTTCCCAACCCCTGATCATGTTAGTTGCCCTCCCCTCTCCCAGCCTTTCTCTTCCCCTCTCCCACCTCCTTTTCCCAGTCTCCCCCAGTTTTTTTTCAATAAAGACAGAGTCAATGTTGGAAGAAACGTTATCTTTATTTTGTACATCAATAAGAAGGGGGGCTAGGGAAGGGTAAGTGGAAGGAGGTGAGGGAGGAATGGGGTACGAGCCCCCGATGGGGAGGACTGGGCTGGCTCTGCGGGCTTCTGGGGGTGGAAGCTCTCCTGCAGCCCCCCAATTACTCCCTCTCCCCAGATGGCAGCCTGCGGCAAGTGCAGCCGGGCTGATGGCCGAGTGGTGTGATGTGCCCAGTGTGGGCACTCAGGGCACTCCAAGCCAGAACTTCTTTGCAAGCGGGGCACCCCTTAGAACTGTGTGTCCGGGGTGGGGGTCGGGACCCTTTAAGCGCAGCCCTCGGCTAGCCTGAGACAGCATCTCCATGCTCTAAGTCCTCCTTTTATGCCCTGCCGGCACTGCTTCCGGCCATCCTTAAGCCCTGTTCAGAGTCCACTCAATGTGGACTTGCTAGTTCGAACTAGCAAAACGCTAGTTCGAACTAGTTTTTAGTTCTAGATGCGTTAGTTCGAACTAGCTTAGTTCGAATTCACTAATTCGAACTAAGTTAGTTCGAACTAGCGCTGTAGTGTAGACATACCCTCTGTGTCTCAGTTGGGGACCATGTCAGAGAGGGGAGTTTTTCTGCTTCTCAGTTGTGTGTGGCCCCCACTGGTTTTTCTGTGTCTCAGTGGCCCCCGATCCACAAAGGTTCCCCAGCCCTGGAAAAGTCGTCCCTTGGGACGGGCAGTCCCTCACGATGCTCTCACGCTCCATGGGACACTCGGCGCCGCTCTGGATAGGGTCCCATTCTCAATGAGGGCCCCTGGTACTTCCATCTCTTGGATGGTTCAGTCCGTGGGACAGAGCTGCACAATGCACTGCAGGAATGTTCCCGTCACTCCTCACTGAAACCTGCTGCCGCTGTGCCTGGGGAGATTCAGTTCTGAGTTCCCAAGGAGCCCGCAGCACCTCCACGGGCCCATGGCAGGTGGGAGAGGCAGGTGGGAGAGCCACTCGCGGCGCAGAGGTGGCCGAATCCACCCCTGAACAGGGCACATCTGGACTGGCTGCAGCTCTGCAGCCAGCGGCTGACTAGCCTTTCCAGAGGCTGTGTTACGTGTAAGGGCCAGTCCAACACATCTCTGCTCTAAGAGTCCAAGGGGACAGCTGAGGCACTGGTCAGGGATCTGGGTTCATTTGCAAAACTCTGACACAGGGTCGTAGACAATCCACCCTGCCTCAGTTTCCCCTCAGCCACACGGGGATGGCGGGTTCTTTGCAGCACGGCCCCAAGAGCTCTTGGCACAGGGCAGCTGTAAAATGAGACATTCCCTGCTGTTAAGGTCGCTACCTCAGTCTAGTCTAGAGCTTCCCAGCAGACCAGCTCCACCAGCCCCGCCCTGTGGCTTTTAAGGTGGCAGCTTTGCCCCAATGCAAATGAGGCAGGGACATTTCCTCTTTAAAGCCACCGTGAAAATGCATCAGCAAAGGGAATTTGCTTCCTTTTCCTCCACACGAGCTGTGTTCTCCAAGCAGCCATGACCCCCTGGCTCAGCCTCCTCTTTGCAGCGGCCGCGCTCTCAGGTGAGAAAGTCCAAAGATGTCTCGGGTGCTTGGGGTCTGAGTGTCCAGGTGGCCGAAAGGCTTTGAACACACAGCTGCAGGGAGTGGGAACTGGCTTCAAGTCCCCTAGGACACATCCCATGAGCCGGAGCTAAAGAAACAGCGGTGGATTAGTATTAACGGGGCCTGAGCGGCGCTATTCAAGCTGCATGCTCCAAATAATCGATGAGGCTGGGGGGGAAGGTGCGGGAGCCAAGCAGACTCGCTCATTCTTGCTCTTTATCAGCAGGGGTCCGGTCTGAAATCCAGTTTGTCCAATCGGGGGCAGAAGTTAAGAAGCCCGGGCAGTCCCTGAAGCTGAGCTGTAAAGCGTCCGGCTACACATTTAATAATTACCGAATGGGCTGGCTCCGCCAGGCCCCCGGGAAAGGCCTGGAGTGGGTGGCGTCCATCCGGACTGACACATTTGAGACCTTCTACCCCTCACATCTGAAAGGCCACGCCACCATCAGCGTGGACGTCCCGCTCAGCACGGCCTATTTGCAGATAGGCAGCCTGGGACCAGAGGACACAGCTGTGTATTATTGTGCCAGGCGCACAGAGAGACAAAACTCAGCCCTGGCCAGTCCGAAACCTGGCCTCAGACAGCTCTGAGGTGCTGGCCGTGGTCTCAAAAAACCAGCGCTCCCACAATGCCTCAGGTCTGAGACCCTGATCCTGGGAACGCTGGCACTTACCTTTACTCACAGGAGGAGTCAAGTGGACTGGGGTTCTCAATGGGAACTAAGGAAGTTAGGAGCCCAAATCATGCAGAATTTCAAAGGGAGTTGGGTGCCTAATTCCCTTGAGTTCCTTTGCAGTTCCCAGCTCCTAGGTTCAGTGGAACCATCTACCTGTGCAAAGGGACGTGTGGACACCTAAGGTGAGTATCACAAGCCCCCCCCATCACCTGCTGCCTAAGCCTGCGGGTGCCTCCCCGTACTCCCAGCCTGAGTGTGCTGTGCCCGTCCCTCGGCCCCAGAGCCAGGTGGGGAGCAGAGAGGGAGGCCGAGGTGCTGAGCCATCAATGCCGTTTACTGCGGCCCCTCCTATCTGTTAGCACCCAGGCACCGAGCTTTGGGACCCCCCTTCACGGACACTGGGGCATGGGTGCAGGGAGCAGACAGTGCTGAGAGCCCCTCCCCGCCCCGTATGCAGAGTGTTCCAAGTTGGGCAAGAGGGGAGGGCAGTCTTGCACTTTCCTCAGAAGCATCTGGCCCTGGAGAACTTAGAGTGCTGGACTGGGGGACTCTCTCATTTTGAGGGGGGAGGTTTTTCCTGCACCCTGGGATTGTGGGCAGCCCTTTCCCCTTGTCTCCCATGTCCCCAGCAAGCCACAGATGGGTTCCACCTGCTCCTTGAAGCCCCAGGCGTGCACACGTCTCCTGCTTCCAGCCAGACATGCGGAGGTGGAAAACAAAGTGCAAAAGAGGCAAGGAGCTCTCAGAGGATGGGCTGGGATTAAATTGCAGCTGAATAGAGGCTCCCTGCTTATTCTCTCATGCAGAATGAACCTAAGGGAGTTAGAGGCCCATGCAACGTCTGTGGGAGTTGCAAGTCTAAAGCCCTTTACTCCCTTAGCTCTCAGAGTTCTTTTCTGTGCCCATGGGAAGGGCGAGCCAGGCTAGCGAGGGGGCCGCATGAGCGCCTCTTTCATATCAGTGGCCATGGGACTGTCACAACCCAGACACTCCCCGGGCTGGGCAGCTTTGCTACTTGCACTTGGGTGGCTACACTTTGCGGGGGGCTGACATCCAGTGGGCAAACCCAGCAGAACCTGGCAGCCCTGCATGTGGGCACTGGGAAATAAACTGTCCTGCGGGATGCACATAGACCCCCATGGGCCCTGGACCCCATGCACATAGACCACATAGCCCCTGGACCACAGGTTCCCCACCAGGGCCTGGTTTGGCCAAGCCCCGTGTGGAAGAACCGCAGAGCAAGGAGAACAAGGGGTTGACTGCACAGAAAGGATCCGACTGAGGCCTCCAGCCAGCCCTCGACTTTCCGCCTCCAGACTTGTAAGCCTGCTGTGCTGCCACATGCAAATGAGGCTGGGCATTTCCTGCTTAAAGCCCCAAGGATACACTGGCCTGCCCAGGCAATTTGCTCCCACTGGCTCTACAGCAGCTGGGCTTTGGGAGCTGCCAGCATGGCCCCTGCACTCTGCTTTCTCCTTGTGCTAGCGGCTGTCTCAGGTAAGATCTACTGCTTGCTCAGACGCAAATTCCTGGGAGCTCTGAGACCCACCCAGACATCAGGGTCCCATCGCTGGGCTCTGTGCAGGGAGAAACTATTCCTGGCCCAGAGAGGTTAAAATCCAAACGGAAGGGGAGATGGAGGGAGGGAGCCAGGGTCACTAGCAATAGTTTATGGGAGGTGTTTGAATGACATGTTGAAGACTGGAGAAGTCAGAAAGATTTTTTCAGCCTTCTCCTGTTTACCCACAGAGGCCTGGTCCCAAATCCAGCTTGTTCAGCCCGGAGCAGAGGTTAAGAGGCCTGGAGAATCCATGAAACTCACCTGCAAAGCGTCCGGTTACACATTTACCGACCACTCGCTAGCCTGGATCCGCCAGGCGCCGGGGAAAGGCCTGGAGTGGGTAGCAACGATTTGGACAAATAATTTCAACACTTTCTACCCTGAGGGTCTTAAAGGGCGAGTGACCGTCAGTGTGGACACCGCGGCCAGCACCACGTCGCTGCAGCTGGCCAGCCTGGCAGCTGAGGACACCGCTGTGTATTACTGTGCAAGGCACACAGTGAGAAAAACCCATTCCTAGCCATGCATAAATCCTCCCAAGAGAGGAAGTCAGAGCCTCAAAATGTCCTGTTGTCCTTGTAGTAAGATGAAAGCCTAAAACATATATCTCAAAAAAGATATACTGGTGTTAGAAAAAAATCAGAAAAGGACAACTAAAACTATTAGGCTACGTCTACACTGGCCCCTTTTCCGAAAGGGGCAAGCTAATTTTACAGGTCGTAATAGGGAAATCCGCGGGGGATTTAAATATCCCCCGCGGCATTTAAATAAAAATGTCCGCCGCTTTTTTCCGGCTTTTAGAAAAGCCCGAAAAGAGCGTCTACACTGGCCCCGATCCTCCGGAAAAAAGCCCTTTTCCGGAGGATCTCTTATTCCTACTTCGAAGTAGGAATAAGAGATCCTCCGGAAAAGGGCTTTTTTCCGGAGGATCGGGGCCAGTGTAGACGCTCTTTTCGGGCTTTTCTAAAAGCCGGAAAAAAGCGGCGGACATTTTTATTTAAATGCCGCGGGGGATATTTAAATCCCCCGCGGATTTCCCTATTACGACCTGTAAAATTAGCTTGCCCCTTTCGGAAAAGGGGCCAGTGTAGACGTAGCCTTAGGGGTTTGGAACGGGTCCCATATGAGGAGAGATTAAAGAGACTAGGACTTTTCAGCTTGGAAAACAGGAGACTAAAGGGGGATATGATAGAGGTCTATAAACTCATGAGTGGTGTGGAGAAAGTGAATAAGGAAAAGTTATTTATTTGTTCCCATAATATAAGAACTAGGGGGCACTAAATGAAATGAATGGGTAGCAAGTTTAAAACAAATAAAAGGAAGTTCTTCACACAGTGCATAGCCAACCTGTGGAACTCCTTACCTAAGGAGTTTGTGAAGGCTAGGACTATGACAGGGTTTTAAAAAGAGCTAAATAAATTCATGGAGGTTAGGTCCATTAATGGCTATTAGCAGGGCTTGACAAATTGTACAAAACCCTACTTGCCAGACAAAAAAGGGACTTGCCACCCCCACCGTGTGACCCTCACCGTGCAGGTGCGCACCACCTGGAGAATGGGATGACCGGGATGACATGTTTGCTCGTGTGACACCGACCCGCCCTGCACTCCAATGGCATCGATCCCCGTGCTGCACAGGGAGCGTGGCATTCTGACAGCGGTCTCTGCCACTTGCTCCCGTGTTGCTGCCCAGCCGAGTGGCGTGCAGGGGGGCCGAGTCCTGACCTGGGAGGCGGAAGCGGAGGCAGGGCCTCATGCGGGCGTAGGGTGGGACCAGAGTGTGCATGAGTCCCTGACGTCAGGGGGAAAGGTGTCGGCACAAGAGAGCGCCACATTCAAAAGGGGAGTAGAGGAGAGTGGAAGAGAGGAGGGAGAGGAGATGGAGGAGAGTAAGAGAGGGAGAGGGGAGAACAGAGGAGTGAGCTAGAAGATGGCAGTGGGCAGAGGAGTGAAGGGTGAGAGCGGAGGAGAGAGGAGGAGGACGGGAGACAGAGGACGTCAGAGAAGGCAGGAGGGAGATGGGAAGTGGAGCAGAGAGTGGAGCGTGGGGGCAGAGGTTGTGAAAGGAGCAGAGGTAAGAAGCAGCCCAGGGTGGTGCTCCTAAAAAAATGAGGTTTACAGGGTTCTCCCAGCAGGAAGTTCTATTTTAAAAACCTGGTGGAAGGCGCTATTTAAAGACTGACCAATGGGCTGTTCTGTCTAGCAGACAAAGGCACAATCACGCCCCTTGGCTGGAAGTGGAAGCCAGCAAAATCAGGCTGGAAGTAAGGGGTGAATGTGACTGGGGAGAGGAATTCACCCCTGGGACGAGTTACCGAGGGCCACAGGGGGGTTCTGTGTCAGTGACGATTTTTACCCAAGGCTGGAGGTTTTTCTCACGCATCTGCTCCAGGAGTGACTGTGGGGAAGGGCTCTGGCCTGTGTCCTACAGGACGTCACATGGGATGGGCATCATGGCCCTTCTGGAATTAGAATCAAGGAGCTGGGGCTTTGCCTCTAGTTCTCAGACAGCAGGAGGGACAATAACTGGAGCTCATGTTCCCAGCGTGGTGTTTGTCATAGGTATTGTGGCTGCTCTTAGGAGCTGGAGTCCTGGCCCCAGCCCCAGTTGCCATAGGCCCTACACAAACACAGCCCAAACGAACAGCTCCTGCCCCAAAGAGCGCGCAGCCCAGTTTGAGTCCAGCCACAGAACAAACCATGGGACAATTCCCAGCCACCCAGACCTTGCCTTTCCCTCTCGGCTGCATCCCACAGACCTGGCCTTCTTACTAGCAGCACGATGGGAGCAACACCCCCTTTGCTCCTGCAGGCGGCAGGTCCCAGTGTCACAGGATGACACTAATCTAGGGGGAGAGGTAGATATGCCTGAGGGCAGAGATAGGGTCCAGAGTGACTTAGACAAATTGGAGGATTGGGCCACAAGAAATCTGATGAGGTTCAACAAGGACAAGTGCAAAGTCCTGCACTTGGGACGGAAGAATCCCAAGCATTAGTACAGACTGGGGAACACAATTTGCGACCCGACACCAACCACGCTGATTACAGTGACCAAAACACCAGTGTAACAGTTGAATAGCTAGCGGACCCAAGCAAAGCAGGGGCAAACTTATTTATATGAACACACCCAGGATTTCTTTCCCACTCCAGCTGGCTGTAATGGTAGCATTGATTCAGACCCTGCTTACACAACAAGTTATTGAAATGTATTGGAGGCAATTTTTTCTTTCAGAAGGTGGAGAAAGCAACTGAGGGGAGGCTGTTCTATATATGATTTTACAAAAAAGGGAGGAACTGGTTGAGAATTTGAAAGGGGAAGACAGGTTGGGTGAAAATGACCATGAAATAATCGAGTTCATAATTCTAAGGAATTGTAGAACAGCAAAATAAAGACAATAGACTCCAAAAAGGCAACTTTAGCAAACTCAGGGAGTTGGTAGGTAAGGTCCCATGGGAAGCAAGTATAAGAGGATAAACAATTGAAGATAGTTTTTTAAAGGAACATTATTAAGTGTTGTGACAGTCTGCTGGCTAAGCCAGAGCTCTGCCATTACAGCTGGCTGAAAAGGCCAAATGGAAGCCAGCTAAGCAATCCCAGGCCTGAAGGGCTAATGGACCTCATTAGCCAGAGGGCTATATAAGGAAGCCAGATGGGAAGCGGAGTGGGAGGAGCTAGAGGTGGCTGAGTGTGTGCACCCCAGCTAGAAGGAGAAGGTAGCTAACTTAGCTGCTGCAAAAACCAAGCTCTGTAAATAGAAGGTGGTGGGAAGTTGGCACAAGCAATAACAGACATGGGTGATTGCACTAGAGAGGATCTCCTGGTGATTTGTGGCTGAAGAAGGGGTCCCAGGGCAAAGGGCCTGGGCAAGGAACTTGCCACAGTGTGCAAGAACGAACTATTTCATTATGTAGAAAAGATAGGAAGTATGGCAAGAGACCACCCTTTCTTAGCCAGAACATCTTAAAAGATCTAAAAATCAAAAAGGAATCTTACAAAGAGTAGAAACTAGATCAAGTTACAAAGCATGATACAAACAATAGCAACAATATGGAGGGGCAATTTAGAAAGGCCAAGGCAGAAACTGAACTTAAATTAAGACATAAAGGGTAACAAGATAATATTCTATGAATATATTAGAAGTAGGAGAATGACCAAAGACAGTGTACAACCATTACTCACTAAAGAGGGAAAAACAATAACAGAAAACTAGCTTGTTTGAACTAGGCTTAATGTTGGTTGGTGATGATTATTCTAGGTGAATGCCTGAAGTAGGTTCAGTGAATGCCTGAAGTAGGTTCAGAAGTTAAACTAGGAAAAGAACAGGTTAAAATTACTTAGAAAACTCAGATGTCTTCAAGTCACCAGGACCTGATGAAATGCATCCTAGACTACGAGTGAAGAGTTGATTAAAGAGACATCTGAGGGTATGTCTACACTACAATGTTAATTCGAACTAACGGATGTTAGTTCAAATTAACTTTGATAGGCGCTACACTAGCGCTCCGCTAGTTCGAACTTAATTCGAACTAGCGGAGCGCTTAGTTCGAACTAGGTAAACCTCATTCTACGAGGACTAAGCCTAGTTCGAATTAAGGGCTGTGTAGCAAGTGGGGTGTAGCCCCTTAATTCGAACTAGTGGGAGGCTAGTTCACTCCACCCACCCCACTCATGCTTTTATAGACCTCTATCCTATCCCCCCTCAGTCTCCTCTTTTCTAAACTGAAAAGTCCCAGTCTCTTTAGCCTCTCTTCATATGGGACCTCTTCCAAACCTCTGATCATTTTAGTTAGTAGTGACAGATGGCAGAACAAGGAGCAATGGTCTCAAGTTGTGGTGGGAGAGGTCCAGGTTGGATATTAGGAAAAACTATTTCCCTAGGAAGGTGGTGAAGCACTGGAATGGGTTACCTAGGGAAGTAGTGGAGTCTTCATTCCTAGAGGCATTTAAGTTTCAGCTTGACAAAGCCCTGGCCGGGTTGATTTAGTTGGAATTGGTTCTGCCTAGAGCAGGGGCTGGACTTGATGACCTTCTGAGGTCTCTTCCAGCTCTATGATTCTATGATTCTATGGGCAGTTCAGAGACTGGGTACTGGCCATGTGGGACCCAAATACACAAGCTTACTCGGCGTTTCTGCTGGGAGCTAATTAATCCCACAGGCCCAGCACCATTTCCAATGCCCAGCACTGGCCTCTCCCTGCCCATCTCCCCCACTGCCCCAATGTCCCAGAGGATGTGGTCGCTGCTCCTGGCTGGCTAGGGAAGCACACACAGCCTGTGCCATCTCCCCCACTCTGGGCCTCTTGTGTATCTTCTGCACCTGCTAGGGTTTCCAGGTGTCCGATTTTGAACTGGACCGTCTGGTATTTGAGCTTTCTGTCCAGGAAACAAATTGAGAAAATACCAGACATATAAATAAATGTCTGGTATTTTTTAATTGTTAGTTTTATTATTATCATGAGTATCGGTACATAGCACCTCAGGAAGTGCGTGCACCTGGAT